CGCATATTCCCCCTGTCGCTCAATTTGGATTAACGTTTTTTTCTGAACTTATGAAGAAAAAATAGTCTGACTAGCTTTGAGTCGAGAGCGATACTTGCAGCCATAAGCGTTGCGAAATGCGACGGCAGATATGGTGTGGAGAGCGCATTGACCTGCACTTACACATATTCCGCAGTGAAGGCTCTAGAGCAATCCCCAAAGATTTCACAACATGGAAACCAAAATGCGCAAATACTTTTCCGACAACCTAATATCATAAGGAGGGAAGCCCGCCGTTAGCAAGGCGGCCCGACTGGTGACCGATAAAAGGCAATGTGCTTCAATCGGATGCGGTATGAGTAATATGCGTGACATTGAATTTTGCAATAATGGGACAAATGCTAGTGATAATTGTGTAAATAACGAAAACATTGTTTTTCAAAAAGGGGAAAACGTGGACACTCACGTTATCTGACTCATCGTCCGTTTCTAGCTGAACCTCGATGGCGTTAAGATTGATAGGTTGCGGTCTTTGCAATACTGGTTGAAACGCTGACGGCTCGGATGAGTGCTCCAACCTGTCCGATGAATGTTTCTTGCGTTCATCACATGGCGATTGAGTGAGCATTTTCCAGGTGGGTGGTGGATTATAGACAGCAATAGGATACTCCAGAGAACAATCACGCTGCCCAGCAAAAACTGACACCATCTGTGAATCCTGTTCACCTCCATCCGTATCAAAGCCTTCTGAGTGAGAAAATCGAGTTGTACTTCGATCGGGTCTCGTGCACCATACCACTGGGATGCTACGTTGCGCGCGGTCTTCCAACCACGAGCGCACAGGCTTCAAAAAATCGTGACGATGTTGTTCGTCTCTCTTAACCCACCGCTCTGGTATGTCCGATTCGCAATTCGCTCGCCGGCGATGCCGCCGAGGATCCACAGCGATAAGTTCTTCGGTGGCGTAGACACGCTGACGACATCCAGATAATGCTCTCGGGTACATGTAGCGATCACGCCTTAATTCGCATAAGGTAGGCGATGAAAAATCACAATGCAACGAACAATTCGCCGGTTTCCAAGAAGCTGAGACCGATGTGGCACACTTATCTGATGATGAGCACGGTTCGGAAAGCAGTGCTAGCGGTGATGATGATTTTCTTCGGAGATCACCATGTTCTGGATCGCACTTTGTTGGCACAACAGCTGAAGTAGGTGCATCCAAGATTGGTATTTGTTCCAAAGATAGACAAGATAAAGCAGAATGAGGACGAATCGGCTCATGATGAGTGGTAGTAGAGCGATTGCTACACGTGGGTAACACTTCTTCAGAGTAACATCTCCTCGCGAACGTAAACCTCAAGCCCGATACCCATTCCTTGACGCAATCAAGGGCAACAGCACAATCGCAATGGTGATGTCCTACTGGGCCTGAGACACATTTATCATTGACATCTTCATCACATCCGTAGGAGCTCCACGATAGTTTACGCATCTGAAAAGCAATTTCTACTAAGGATAAAAAATATTGAAAATATAGGGTTGTTCGGAAAGTAATGGTGAATTTTCGTTCCAAAAAATTTTCGACGAACGAACCTAAGACAATGATCTACACCCAATTTCGTTCGGTTATCTTTTGCCACTTTTAAGGCTATTTCATAGTTCCTCTCTCATAGACTTCCGGTCTCTCCAGCAAAAGAAAACTTCACTACGCGAAATTTGATATCCTCACCTTCGGCGAAGGTTTTCTCATCCATGGAGTTCTCCAAGGACCAAAATATGTAGCACCCAGATGGTGCGGAACTACGGCTATATAATGGATGCAGCAGCAATTCCCAAACCTCAATAATCTTTTTTTTTTATAAAACTTTATCAACCCATGTAGGGCTTTCTATGAACCTCGGCATAATTGTATTAATGAGTTTATTGTTTTCTTGAACCTTTCACAAGGTTTGTAAATACGCTTTATTAAGCTGACGTTTCGGCGGAATCGCCCTCTTCAGCGTCTGAAAGGATCATAACAATCTGTGACTATTTGATCGAACGTCTTCACCAACCCAGCAAAGTTTGAGACCCTGAGGGCACGCAGGTGATCGTAAGGTGAGAACCACTCACCGTAACTTTGTAGTTTCTTCGAAACCACCCAGCAAGTGATGGTACCAACCGACCAGTGTCAATTGGGGTATGTACTCATTGAAGTCTCTGCGGGAAGGACAATCTTATAAAAGGTCGTAGCTCCGACGTGATTGCGAGTATTCTTCCTTACAATTCATTTTGGGGTTGGTGACCTGTATCCGAAATGCTTTGAGGGTTTTACGCGCGCACAATTGCAACACCTTTGCCACGACCTCCGCGGTGACCCCAGAAACGCCTTCGTTATGCTCTTGAATACGGTGACTTCCCAACGCAGTAAACTCATTCAATCGCCTCATACCATCTATGTACTCATAAGCCCTCACGTGGAGTGCTCTTGCCGTTTCTCCAACATACTCATCACCACAATCACGCAAGTAATTTTGTAGACCATTCCAGACATATTACAATCGCCTTCCTTTCCAGCCAGAAAAATCGTGCAGTTTAAGGTCGTACATATACGTACGTTCAGCCTGTTCCGAACCATGCATTTCTTTAGATTGAAAGGTGGTACATTTACGATAGCAACTAATTTTTCAAACTCGATCTCTTTAGACACTTTATAATAGAGGCACTGATCTCATAAGAAATGAAGAGCAAATACGTGGTACTAGGGATCTCCGAGACCTAATAAGGTCTCGAGCTATAAGGTTATGGGAGTCGGCATTTAGTTCCACGGCTCCACACTTCTAATTATTTCGCACCTTTCTCGCGCATCCACTCACTCGCCTCTGGGGTGACCTCGCTTAATTAGTTGGCTGTGACCTCTCTGGCAGTGTGAGTGAACTGATATTGATCCTCTGGATCGGAATGTGTTATTATCATTACTGATATTATTATATTGTTATTTGTTATTATTACACATTTTAAAATAATATGCAGTTGGGACAATAAAATGTAAAAATTCAAAATCTTCATATTATAAGGAAACTATCAAGCATTATCGGTGGCGTATCTAGACATTTTCCTGCAGAATTGCTCTGTTTCCTGCTCACTTGGTCCATTTTCCATACACGTGGTCCCGATAAATTAGAACGTGATGCCTTCTTCCCTTGCTTACCTACCTGCCTTTCGCCATTTAGGTGTTCTTCGGATTTGAGGTAGCTGTAGCTTCCCCTAGGGTTTCTGAAAACGAAGGGTTTTGGTTGACAGAGCTCACAGTGCTTTCGGATGCTGAGGATAAATATAAAAGGAATTCGGAGCTACAGCACTCGAGGGAACAGAAAGGGAAGTTGCAAGGGGTGGAAGGGGTGCAGATACATGAAATAGAGGTGGTGCAGTGTATTGTGGTAGGCTAGCTAAGTACACGGATCCGTAGGAATAAGAAGGAGCAACAGTAGCAGCTAATCCTGAGTTGAAGCCGAGAAAGCTCTGTAGTCGAACACAGACTTACAAGTGAGACATCGCGCTCATGCGATGACAAGCACACCACAGAGGTGATTTATGATGCTTTCATCCACATATTTGAATAATTTCAAGTGACCTTCTGGCGGTGTCCAAAGAAAGCGATGGAAGGTGTTAAAAAAGCTTGAAAGGTCACTTTGTCAACTAGTTTGCCTGCAGGGACCTTGTGAGAATGGCTGTGATAAATCCTTTTCCCCATCCTATGATTTTTCCGATAATTACTTTAGCCTCCACAGCTTTCTGCGTTGCATTATTAAAGTGTTGCACATTTATTTTTTCGTTTTGCCTTGCTTTAGAAGTTTCTTAATCATATAATCGATATTGTTACTCCTGAATATGGCTGTGTGGCAGAGAGGTCAGCAACCAACCAATTAAGCGAGGCCACCCCACAGGCGAGTGAGTGGATAGGCGAGGAAGGTGCGAAGTAATTAGCCGTGGAACTAAATAGGCTCACCCATAAGGTTATCTGCCAGTGACAAAGGAGGAGAGTTTGTAGTGATTTTCAGACAACTTGGCCTCTGCGGGATTGGCCTTCCCGCAGGGACTTTTTTAATGAGGACATTTCCAGCTGACAGTGGTCGGTTGGTACCATCTTGCTGGGCGGTTTAGAAGAATCCACAAAGTTACGGTGAGCGGTTCTCCCTTCGATCACGCCCTGGGGTCCCAAATTTTAGTGGGTTGTTGGAGAAGTTTGATCGGATGGTCACAGATTGTTATGATCCTTTCAGGTTCTGAAGTGGTCGATTCCGCCGAAACATCAGCCTAATAAAGCATGTTTACAAACCTCACATAGAGTTCAAGAAAACAATAAACTCATTAATTGCTCTATTGTGTTCTAACAAGTAGAGGTCCAAGTTAACGTTGATAGCACACTAAAATTCACCATACCCTCGTGATACCGTCAAATTGATAGTGTGTCCTTCTTTCGATGAGGATCAGCTCTGGGCCTCTTTGAGCGGGTTCATCCGATGTTAACCATGGTTGTTTTAGAGGAACGTTATCGTGTGCTTTCCATCTTATATCCTCAGCCACCATCTGTTTTTGAAATGTGTCATCTTTATCGGGTTAGAAGCGCAAATCGCAAATACTAACTCGCGGCGTCAAGCCAATCCCCTTCAACTCATATGGACCCTGAACATCTAGGCCAATGCCATCAAAAGATCATTACCAATACCTAATGGTCACCTCACCTTAAAGTGAAAAATTGAAAGAACGAAAATATTTGAACCAGTTTTCACATACGCTTTGTGACAAGGCATTGTCAGCTTATGTTCTACATGGATCATGGAAAACATGAGCAGATCTCTTCTCCCGCTAACAGTAAGAAAGTAAATTGCTCCTAAACTGCTCCATCTGACACTATGTTCAAAGTGATCTTAAGTTTACAAAGTGGAAATCTAATTTGGTTTCTTTTTCTCGAAAAGTACAATTACATATCTTGTCTGTACAGGGTGCGCCATAAACATGGCAACAGCTCTTCGAATGTCCGTAATTTCTCTGTTTAGAGGGTTTCTTCAAATCTGCACCACCCTTTATGTTTATGATATACTTGGCCGACATATCTACCTTGGTGCTCTCAATTCGTCAGGTTTCGAAAAACGGTGGAACCTCGCAGACAGCGACCGACCGTTTTGTCTTTGCGCACATTTGGTGAGACCGTTTCCGGAATCGCTCTTGTTACAACATTTTCCATAAGTCAGTCTCTTGAATCGCGGTGCGTAAACAGGTCAACTACAAATCTCGAAACGGTTGTCCTGTCTCACATGCTTCTTTTTCAAATACAATTGCTTGGGAAAGAGTACGCTGCGGAACCTTCAGAAACACGAGAAAAATGACTGCTGATCTGTTTGTGTGTTCTACACCGATGAGAGGAGTCTAACCCGAGTAAATACAAATGTATCCAGATAGGACCCGGAAGCGTTATAAGCTCCTTGAGGAAAAGAAGTTGAAGAGAAAAAAATCCCGTGCGCTACATGCGCGTTTCGACACTTTTTCTGACAAAGGGTGTTCAGTGAGGATGGAACGTTGAGATCCCAGAGTATACGCATATTTCACACTAAGAACACTGAGAAGAGTCAATTAGCCTATTGCAGCCATTTCCTCTATAATGTGACTTTGGGCTAGATCAAAATCTCTACCATCAGAGCGATATCGCGAATTTTGCTCTAGAAAAAAACGAAGTTCAATCCAAACATTTTTAAGAAGGGTTTTTCCAAAAGGTTGCAGCTGAGTGTCGAAGATGTGTCTAGGGATACGTTGAAAACTACGGTACACTTGCTCACGAACGGGAAAAGATCAATACTGGTGCTGAGGGAATGTTCGCGACTTTATCCCACCTTTCTACCTTCCTAAGAATTTCCTGGACCACAGGGTGATGAGTCACTGGATGAAGACCATACTGGAGAGAAAAGCCTGCGCTTCAAAACGCACCTCTCTTGCTGTTCCTGAAAAATCACTGAAAAAAGATTGGGCTGGAGTTTTTCAAGCAAATCTGCGTGCCATCATCAATAAGTAGCCGAAGGGTCCTCGAGCTATAATTAGTACAGGAGATGGTTATATAAGACGACCGTGTGTTCGTTTTGTAGATGCGATGTATAGTAAATAATTCACATGAATTCGCCATGCAAATATGAACTGCGGATTCTGTAGCCCAGTACTTCTGTTACCATGTTTATGGCACATCCTGTATATATCAAACAAAATGTGTAGCAACTCCTGAAAAGTTGTCAAACTATCGTTTACCAAGCGTTTGAGAAGGTCGATTTCTGAAGTCGCAATTACTTTCCGAACAACTCAATGTGTAAAGCAGGTCTAGAGGAGCTGAATTCAAAACGATTCCATATCTTCGAGCATACCATCGGGTGGTGGCTTTCAAAATGTTCCTTTTTCTCGTAGAACTCTTCCCACTCCTCATCAGTACTGTACGGCGAGAAAGTTCCCGGAGGTAAACTGCAACGAAAAGAATATCACAGAGAGCTTGAAACTACAAGTTTTTCTGTGGAGTCCCAATTTCCCAAACTTCCGTAAATAACCAAATGTTTACCACCTTGTCTCCAAAGGTAAGCTGCTAACTTAGATTGGACCACTATGACCTAATCTTTAATCTCACGCTTCCTCCTGACGGGAGGGGAATGCAGTACTTGATGGCAGTATGAATCAAGGGACCAGACACTTTTGAACCGAGCGCACACACTTGAAATCTACTCGCAAAACTGTTCAATTCACTGTTCTACATATACCAAGAAATCTAGTGTATCTGCCGCCAATTTGAAGTTTTCCGACATCGAGCAAATATTATTTAAGGGCACAGTTCACGATAATTTTGGGTAATCCAGATTATGAAGAAAAATGAAAGATAAGATGGAAAATAGTCCGATGAAGGCGAAGAAACTGCATGCATTGGTGTGGCCAAAGTGAAAAAAGACTTTGAAAAATCGTTAAAAGGGAGGCTGGACGAGATTGAGACTAGAAGAATGAAGAATTGGGCGTTTGGGCGAGCTATACTTTGCATGTCATTGTTGGGTGTGTGTCGTTCGCTCATAAGCATAAGTAAACAAAGAATCCTAATAACAGCAAAATCAGCCCACCTTTTTCAGCCTCTTGAGGTAGAAAATTAGAATAAGGTTCGCAGCAGCAAAAGGAATGACAGAGAATAAAAGAATTGAAAAAAACATCACTTATCACTTGGCGATCAGCTGATTAAGTGTGGGTCCTAGAACGAATATTGCAATCTATGTGGCCTCTACACTCGTCTGACGTGACATCGATCGAGGGGCGGGGAGTCCGGGCGATCCGGTAACGGGGCTTCCACCACGCCCTGACTGTTGAGTTTTGGGACCCGACAGCGTCCTTCCTGTTACCCTTGATTGTTACTGGGTATTCCTAGGGGGAGAACTCAGAAACTATTTTTATCGTGAATGTGCCTTTAAGTGCGCCCGCGTCACTGAATGATCTGTACCACTTTACATACACGGACACTTTCTTCTTCCCGCTAGCGTTAAATCCGCGCCGTCGCTGGGTCCGCTGATCTTGACGGCCGTTTCCACCTCTTTCTATCTTTGGCATCTTCTGCCATTACTTTAGTTCAGACGAATTCCCTCCTGATCACCTCCCATCCCCTCTTCCTTGGCGCTCCTTGTGGTCGCTGACCCGGGGATCATAACATCATCATCATAAGGGAGCCTGTTTTCACTAGGCTTCTTCATGGTTTCACTCGCCGTTCTTATCGGCTTCACTAACCCGATTCCTGAGCAGCCCGACCTTTTCTAAGCCAGAAAAGAAGTTCCCTCCTTCTTGTCCATTGAGTACCTCCTGCGAGGCGTCAATTTGCGTACCCTTCCAATTCGCAGCGTTGACGAGCTTAACGGCAGTTCTGCAGTAGCTAAGGCTTATCTGGAGCTCGCGTCTTTTGCCAGCGCTTGCACACCACTTTCCGCCTAAACCCTATTCAGATCAGTTGCCTTCTCAACCTTCGCCTTTCCTAGCGCGGTTGCTCTAGGCAACATGCTTTTTCTCGGAGCACACTTCGGAGTCTACCCCAGCATTTCCCTTGCACATAGGATGACCTTCGCTGAGGTGCTTCAGGTTTGCTGAATAGCCCCTTCTGAATCTTAGACTTCAGCTTCGATTATCTTCCGTTTCAGCTCCACTCTTTCGGCCAGGTGCAGTTTCACCACCGTATCCTCAAGTCCGATGGAAGCTCTACGGCTATGTCTGAGAGGTGAGGCCTATGCTACTGATGCTCGACCTTCCCCAGGCAGTGCATGTACATCCTTTACAGTTTTAAGGGAGGGCTTCCTTACGAGTACGTGGTCTACTCCTGTTTCTTTCCCTACATACATTCTATGTGAATACCACCATGGCTCCATTGTTCATTCCCAACGGACCGTGAAGATTACCCGTTATTGTTAGCTAGTTCCCCTCCGAAACTGATCTGATAGCTTCGTCGAGGCTCAGACAGAACCATCTTTTCGTATTCGGGGCAGCTAGCTTCCTCTTGGGACTTCCCAACAAGCGATCTCACGTTCAGAGTCCCTATTTCAAGTGATTTCTTTGGAAGATGTTACACACTTCTCGGTAGCCATCACACACTGTCCACAGGGCTATGGCAATGGTTCTGCGCGCCTTTTCCGGATGACGTCCTAGCTTTACCAGCGATCTTCTGCAGACTTGGATCAGACACTTTATTGCGTTTAGCTTCTTCATCAACCGATCTGTTAACCTGGGCCTGACGCTTGAACTGATACTATTTTTGCAATTTTTGCAAGGCATGGGTCTTGCTTTTCCACGAATCGAACTCGCACTCTTTATAGGTGTAGACGTGAGCTTACACTCTTGTCACTGTGCTATCGCTGCCGCATCACATACACTGATCCCACCGGTTGGAACTATGGCTTACACGCCAGCGCTGAAGCTAAACCGCACTTCACTGACACTCGCTTAGTCTAGAATTAATTACTACTTCTAAAAAACATAACCGTAACCTCAAACAAACAGTTCGCTGCTGATTACGAAGATTGCAAAATCTAGGCATCATATGCAGTGTTGCGAAATTATGGTCGCCAAAATTCAACAACAATAAAGCGAGAATATAATAGTTCATTGTTTTCCCTTTATACGCTTATATTTAGTTGCATAAAAGCTGCTTCACTACTGTATAGCTACTGGAGTGAGACTCTCAATATCTTTCGAATGGTGGAGGCTCATTCAATGCCGTGCAATCATGCAATACAATCACCCCAACATCGACCGCAGAGAAGGCTACTAAATGATACGGAGTAGTAGAATCATTCAGAAACTGAGACGAGGAGGTGGAAAGGATACTGCTTTCAAGCATAGGTATATTATAATAAAATAGTCCGTTCATGCGTCGTTCGCCCTGGGTGCCCCATCAAAGCAGAATTTGCCGAAGTCGTCAACGGGTGGAGTGTCGCGCAGACGCTTCATTGCTATTCCTATCTTATGCAGTAATGCCACTTCAATTCCGATCTCAACAAACAGGCCGGCTCACTTTAATGGAAACAAGCAATCCTTCACGCTTTTCAAGCGTGACAACTTTTACGGCAAAGCAAATCATCAGCAAATAAAACACGATCGCGTTCCGGATAGAAACGTTAAGGGTGAAATCTTTCACGAAGAAGTTGTTATAAGAATAGCAAAGTGATGTTTAATAAGATAGTCACGGGCGATGGTAAGACACCACCCGTTTCGTCGTTGTCAGTGTGAAATTTGACACAGGCGTGCCTTTGAAAAGCATACTGATGGATGTACTGAAGCATTAATCCGCCTCCACTTTCTGAAACAGCCCATGGTCTCTCCAGCAGGACAGTGCTCTAGCCCACTTAGCCAAGCTGGTTCAAGAATGGTGCCAAATCCACCTGCCCGACTTTAGTAGCATTGAAAAACGGCTATCCTACTCTCCAGATCCTAGTTCACTGGACTCGTCCGTAAGGTCCCTGACTAGAATAGAATTTGTCGAAGTTGCAATCCCAGTTTGAAGCCTTGGAAGCAAGAATTAAGAACAGCTGGGAAGAAATGGAGGATGGATATCTGCATGCAACATGCGAGCAGAGACTTTGAGCCTCTATAATGCTTATGGGATATAATTTGAAATGTGATTAAAGCAACATGTTGCACATAATGTAAGCGAACGTGCATATAGTATAGATTCCATCGTCACTCTCACAGCTAGGAAGCTTCAAATACATTGCAATGAAATATCTGGCATAATTTTGGGATAACATGTATTGAAAAAAGTCACGAGTTTTACAAGGCTGGGAGTCTGCTGTACATCTTAGTACAAACAAAATAAAAATGTCAAAGACTGGAGGCATGATGAAGAACAAAAGTTTTTATTAGGCTTCTCCTGGAAAACCTTAACGACCCAGAGAACTAAGTGGAAATTGTCATAACTCACAGGTCCAGTTCACGGTCGACATGACGAGGGCGCGTGAAACGTGACTCGAAAGGAAGTTGTAGTTCGATGAAAATATCTGGCAAATCAACCAAATTTTGCTCATCAACATTCATCATGGAATCATTCTGTATGTGCAGCTACTCCATCACTTACTCATTTTCAGAACTGTTGACAAATGAGCCGACATAAAAGGTAAGTGACTGTGCATATGGATAATAGAAGGGATACGGTAGTTGGAGGCCTGAAACAGTCAATCCAATTTCTGAGAGCCATCATCAATTCGATATTAGTCCTAAGAGCAGATAACTTTTCATCGAAACAAGTATGAACGAAAACACAGTATCGTCTACTAAATGCATGAACGCATGTTAAATCATTCGCCAAACTGAAAGTGATTGTTCTGAAGATAAGAAAGACAGAAACCTGTCGAACAGCAAAATTGATAAAGGCACCAATTATTTTTAAATCAGCTTTGAAGTGATCTATGCAAGCAAATACCTTTCACAAATGATTTTCTCTCTTGAAGAAGCATGAAGCGAAATTTATAAGAATAATGGCGCGACTTCGCAATGCTTCAACCAAACCTGGACAATGATATTTTTACATCTCCTCCGTATGTTTCCCGAGTAGCGCTCAGCTTGGATAAAAAAAAATCATTTTGTTCCGTCTTATACTATACAAAGTTGGCGGTTTATATATATATATATATATATATATATATATGTATATATATATAAACCGCCAACTTTGTATAGTATAAGACGGAACAAAATGATTTTTTTTTATCCANTGGATAAAAAAAAATCATTTTGTTCCGTCTTATACTATACAAAGTTGGCGGTTTATATATATATATATATATATATATATATATATATATATATATATATACTTATATATACTTATATATACTATATAGAGGATTTTAAATGACTCAAAGTGTGACTACGTAACAAACATTTACACAAAGCAATGTAAACTTAATAGAAGTATTATACGATTTGTCGACTAGATACCCGGAATGCAGCTGCCTTCAGGGTAGCCCATTAATTCCAATAAATCGTATAGCATTTCCGAATGAAGTCAAACCAAACTCTCACCGTGCTCATTTCCTTGTCCAGCAGATTCATACAAGCTATATCACTGAACTTGTTTTCCCGCTCCACTTCATCATCATGTGCCTCGTCTTGTACATCGTTCTCAACAGGAATTGAAACAATAGCTGCCGTCTCTGATGCATCGGGATCCCATTCTGACAGCTCTGGCAACATCAGCTTTGGCACTTCCCCCGTTGAATGATCCTGTATGCCGTCGGACCGACGTTCAATATGAGTGATCATATTAAACATATTATTCTGTACGGCAACTACTTCCATGTGCTCCTTAGTTTCATTACGGTCACTGGCTTCAATCATTCGCACTACGAATTTCAGCGTAGCTGAGACCGAATTCCAGATAGACTGGTCAGCTGCTTTCTGATGGTCCTTTCCTACTTCTGCTTCTTGTTTTCTCAGACACCCTAGTGCGACGTCGAGCAATTCTGCCTCTTCTAAAGTTTTTCTGAATAACGCATCAGCTTGCTCTGCATATCTGGTGCTCATACAGTACCAATAAATTAGATCTTTGGCAGCACTGAAATTATTTTAATTAGTTCGACTCACTCAGAACTCCTATTATTCTCGAGGAAATTAGGCACTCACAATTTTTTGGTCGTCTGAGCTTTAGCTCGTTCCACTCCTAATACAAGCTCCATTTCCCTTTCTGCCTTTAGAAGTTTGGTATTCTCGATAAGCTCAACTTCGTTATGGGAAGTTTCCTTCAGGAACTGTAAACAAATCGCTGAGTTATTACCGGAAAGAAAGAAAAGAACATCTGTTGACAAAAAATCCTAGACCTGGACATGACGTTAATATTTTCATGTTTTTTCGGGAAGTGATGTCAAATTCACATTCCAAATCTGCGAAAGGATTCTAGGAACAAGGTCGAGGGAACATCTCTTCCATGTGGTATAGGGCTTTGCTGAGCATGTATCGAGGTCGAGTCTCTAAGCCGAGTGCACTACGTCCGTCGGGACCAGTTCACGCCGCAACCGTCGCACACCGCGCCTTAGCCCGCGATTCTTGACGGACGTCGCGGTTGGCAGTGGGGCATATGATATGCGCCTGGTACACGCAGTCAGCTTAAAGAAAAGATAACAAGCGCTACTGCAAATAATCTGTGCCACTGACACTTGATGGTACTGTAATGCCACCTCGAGATCGCAGCGGGCTGTGCCGTGCGCGAAGTGGCGGGGTGACCTATCGACGGACGCGCGGAATGGATGATCCCCAGCTAAGCCAGATGCGAAGCGATGACGCAACGTGTAAGATGATGGACTTGCAAACGTGGCACAAGGACCGGCACCTCGTGAACTGAAGATTCGCAAAACAGTTTCACACCTCCCATTGACTGAATGCAGCTGTACCTGACAAAGATCATGAAAAACAATTGCTGCATAAAGCCCAGTCTTGACCGATTTTGATCGGAAGAAGGATGAATCCGTATACAAGAGATCAAATACGAGACGACTAAACTTTGTACTGCTTCCTGCACCGAGGGTAAAAAGTAATGGAATGTCTCACCATATCGGGCGCACCTTCTCATCCTTCGAAGCATTCTGAAGCATAGTGACCTTACACCACCTAACCGATGACCTCATTGGTGAAGCAAGACGTAATGATCAATGGACACTCCATGACCACACATGTCATCCAAATTTAAAGCGTTTAAAGCAGCACCTATTTTCCCACCGTGAAAACAATGCGTGAGAAAAGCCTATTACACTCATTCTTAGTACCGTTTCCGTGAAAGTGGAATGAGGAGCACGCTGTCAAGGCGATGAGATTAGCCAAACTGAAAACTCACAGTCTTCAGCAATTTCTATTTAATTTCACTAGTAATATTGGCAATGACGGAGCGCAATTTGCTTTCCCTGCATGAAAAAGTGCAAATTTTCTCGGCCATCGAAAGGTAGAAGATGATGGCCATTCCACCTGGACTGCAGAGGAATTATAACGGGTGGAATCATAACACTTGAACAAGTAATTTCTTCACTTCCAAGCATCCATTCATTGTGAGGATTATTCATTATTTTTGTGAGAAGGCATATACCGGAACACTCTCGTCAACGTTTTCTACGCCTGGACGGAATTTTGCGTTGGAGCCGTCATTATGCTTCTTTATCAATATTTATATAAGAATATATAATAAATACTTCAGCGGCACGTATGCATGTCTACACGGCTAAGATTAAATCGCCCCCACGCGTCAGAGCTTGACAAGTCATCGTAGGTATCCATATGCCATAAACAGCAGTATAAATGGGACCCATTCTCCCGAACCTAAGGTAGCTCCAAAAATGACAGCGTTGGGTATGACTGAAGTTACGTACAATTGAAGATAGGTAATTGATATATGGGTCACATAGGTGCGAAGTGACCTTGGTGGTACTTAACCTCATGTCAATCGTACGGAAAGTTCCTTACCCAAGTGATAATCGGCTTCCCAAATTTGGCTCTGCCTCATTGAAAGGATTTTTGAAACAAAAACACCAGCAAAAAGAGAGGAAAAAACAGCGAAGAAGCAGTGGTCGGTAAAAAAAGAACCACCTTTTCAAACTGCGCTCTATCATAAAATCTTCGATTCTTTTCGACCCATCGACGTTTTTCAAGAACTCGATACTGGCATTTCATTGCCTGAAGTAGAAAACTTTTACCTTATGTAGGCTGAATATTAAAAATGAGTAAAAGAAGTAATCATAAACACTGTACCTTGTAAAGGCCAACAAATGCACGCGGACGTCGCAGTGACATCTCTAGTACCCATTCAAAGTTCGCCACATCAAAAATCCTAGCTGGGCGACTTTTCTGAAAAATTTTCCTCTGAGAGCACCTCGATAAAGTTCGACAAAGGGCAGTTGAGGTTCCACAAAAGAGAGTTGCATTAAATTCTTCATTTTCAACATCTAAACAGACTCACCAAGGAAAGGTGACACCTTCCCATAGATCTTCGAAAAGACACCTAGATACATAGATGGAAATTGGAATGGTGTTTACGTATATAGAACCCTAATTTGCCGAATAAGTTTTACCCAAAAAAAAAACGTAGAAACGCCGAGAGTTTGGATATAGCGTAAGCATATAGACGCAGCGGTGCGGAAGGACAAGAAGCGTCGCCATTACGGTGATAGTAATCTCCCTCTTCAGTTTGAAGGGCTTATCTCCTTCCAAGATTCTAGCATAGCGTGCTTTCTTTCCTGCTCTGCTGTAACATTTTCTGATATTCATTAAAGTAACTCCTAATTAGGATTGTCATTAATGCTAAAGAACGTTTCTGCGCGTAGACTTCATGACTACCTTTCTCCAAAATATGTGAAGACGATCTTATTGTTTTACATGATTGGATATATGAGGACCACTTTCCGGTGCAACAGCAAGTGTCTATTGATCTGCCGTCTCGAAATTCTCTTCTACTCTCATGTTCTATAACCGATATTGAGAGAAATGGCTATTTACTGTATGGCAGGACGAGGCAGCAAGTTTAGGGTGCGAAATTTGTTAACATCATGCTACCTTCACAATTTTTTCGGTTTGCCAAATTAATGCTGAGCTTTTCCTGTTTCAGGTTGTTTCTCTTTGTGTGCATGCCCCTATATTTCGAATAGAAGTTTTAGAGTCTACAAAGGACTTCAGAGATTCTGTTTTAAATAAAAGCCATAAGCCTTCACGATAGCAAAACAAGGTGCTAACTAGAATAAATTAAAGAAATTGCATTCAAAGGGACATGTTTCAATAGGATTTAAACGGTCATTATTAGCCTGAAGAAGTAGAGCACTACCACGACGTCATATTGTTGTATGCTGCCATCTCGGAGAACCGCGCGTTCCAACTGCCCTTATCTCCGAATTGAGCTCCTCATTATTTTTGGTGAGCTCATTCAGCAATTCTGCTTTTATATATTCGTTGGCATATTCGTACACCTACGAAGTTTTCAGTACACTGCACTGTGTCTGTATTATGTCAAAACTGTTGCTAAAAATACAGTACCGTTCAGAGAGAAATCACCTTGGGCCTCTTTTGCCATAACTCATCTCGAAGTCAAAGGTTTTGACTGATTTTTTGATATGATGTCAACGGGTCCGGAAACTTCTCCCCTAACACGGCGTCGCACACGCCGCACCCGCCGCCAACCGCAGAATTGCGATGGAAGTTGGAGCGCGCAATTTGTAAGGTAGGGAGCCCTTTAATTATTTGAATTGGCTGACCGCTTCCTTCAATTTCAATGCAGTCTTGATCGCCGCTTACATAGGAGGAGTCATCTTAATTAATCAAGTCTAATAAACATGAAAACTAAAAAGAAACAGAAGGAAAAACGACAAAATCGAATGAAAAAGCAAGCCAGTCAAGGAAAAATATCGCGTCCTATTGATTGGCGGGAGGCGGGGTGTGTACGGTAATTGCAGTGACATTTGCCGCATGCCGCAAGGGAGAATGCCGCGATAGGGGAGAAGTTCAGTTACCCGATGTCAACAGTGATGACTTTCAATGTCTTCATCACAAAACTCACGGAACTCTTTTTTATCTCGTTTGAAAGGCCACATTTCACATTTTTCTGATTTAGGACAAAATAACAGTGTTTCAATAATTTAAAATAAACTACTTGACTTGAAAGCTATCATCATGATATTGGAACCTAATTGACTATTGCTCTCATACTTTGTAGCGATGCCGTTGATATCGATGACGGCTTGACATCCGCTGAGCACTGACTCGAGAAACTTGTCGATCAGGCACCCCTCTATTTTTTTTCATTCTTTTCACATAGGCCAAAATTCTTAGCAGCGTTTGGGACTGTTTTACCGGCTATGCTCTTCCTGAGTTTCTGCCATGAGGGTTCAACGATGTTTAGGTCAGGAGATTGGCTGGATCAGTCAAGGCATCGAATTTCCCGATGAGTCAGCCACTCGCGCTCCCTTTAGATCTGTGTTCGGGGTAGTCATCGTGCAGCAAAGTAAATTTTTTTAGGAAGAAAGGTAGCATGCATTTCTGCAAAATGTCCACGTACATCTGCTGGTCCGTAGTGGTGGGAATATGGTGCATGGACCCCATGCCTGGACTTGGAGACCATTCCCAAACTAATACTTAGCCGACACCATGCATGAGTGTTGTTATATGATTCTTGGGGTCGAACTTGTGTTTGAAAGGCAGTCCACGAACGAAACCCAAGTGTACCAAGCAAAACAATCTTTAACCAGTCGCTCTAACGATTTCGCATCATCAATCGAAGGTCCAGTGCAGGTGCTTACGCCCATTGAAGTCGAGCTTGCCTATTTTTCAGAGATGCAGATACTTTTTCACAAGTCTTCTTCCATATGATCAGCATCCCACAGGCGTTTGTACCTCTAGATGGTAGCGACATCGCCATCGCCGATATTTCAGCCATTACATCGGAAGATGCTCGTGTGCAGTCTTGGGTCGACGCAGAAGTGATCTACCTATCGTCTTCAGGAGCGGCAATCCGTGCCCTCCCCGAGCTGGTTTGCTTGATTGGGCCTTGAGAGACTCATCACTTTCGGTAGCCTTCGTAATCGAAGACACTAGCACAACAAACAGCCTTGGATTTCGAGCATGGGTCAATTCCTGCTTACTGCCAGTGGCAGTGACGGTGAGCTGCTCCACGGTCAGACAGCGAGAGCCAGAGTTTAGTCTCTTCACTGAGAGCGATCAGCTTACAGAACAAAAGAATTATCGACATTTCTAGACTCAAAAACACAATGAAACCTCCCTAAAGAATATGCCCCTTTCGCAAGTTTTTTGGAAAAAAATCACCCACACGGCCGGAAGTGAGCTACCACCGATTTTGCACCGCAGGAGGGTCGGTAATGTTTGGAAAGTGTGCTGTCAAAAAATCAGACAAAAACATTGAGATTGAGACGAGTTATGACGGAAGAGATTCAAAGTGGCTTCTTTTTGAACGGTACTGTATATCACGAGCCTGCAGATATCCGGAAAAAGTTTGAATAAAACATAGCAAACATTCATTCTGCAAATACTTCGATCACTTTGCAGCTCTAGAACAGGGCAAAACTCAAATATGACACGAACAAAACAATGAAAACAACATACAGAAGATTTAAGGTAAGGCTTACCTTGATACGACTAGGTTTGCTAGGTTGCACATCGGAACTGTTAGAGGACGAATAATCGCGAGCTCGCCGTTTTGCAGATTTTCGATACGTTATAGGAGTATCGGGCCCTTGGACTGCCATAAGAGCCACCTGAATGTGGACTATGTTGGCGGATATGCTGAAATTCAAAGAAGGCACGTGCGCAAACAATTTTAAGAGCCTCTGCCTTTTTTTCTTGCTTCGCTGTACTGTCTTGATCAGTAATTATCCTACTTACATTCGTTTCAATAGTCAAGATCTATCGTTTTGTTCACAGATCATTGAACAATCTAAGTGCAGCAATAGTCTTTCAGACGCCTAACGCTTATCCTTAACCCACCGAAAATAGGCAGGGAATTGGGTTACTGGATTACCTTATCGACTGATGCATACAACTGAACATACAACCCCAAAGAATGAAATGACAACACTCAACATCATATGGGATGACTGAATTTCACCTATGTAATCCCACATCGAGAACAGAGCTCCAGTTATAGCCGTGTATTTCGAATATCCACGGCCTTGATGCAAAAAGGGATTCAGTTCTATTTGGAAGTTATTGTATTGGGAAAATTCACATACCGCCCTTAGTACTGTCTCGTGAAGCATTCTCTCCGTCTCTACACCTCGCCTAGCCAAAGTATGCCTCAATTTCAAGGAGCGGTACTCCGAAATCTGAAAGAATATGTGCAAAATATTATGAGAAATCGAAAAGCGAATGATCAAACGCCGCCACATTGTTGACACACCTAAATCACAAGTGGAAGGTGAAAATGTAGTTGGGGAGGTAAAGGGTGTACACATGTTAGCAAAACAAGAAATTAATGCACTGCTTTCTATTAATCCGTGTTATGAGTGCTAGCACTGTATCAGTGATAAATGGGAAGATGGGCAGCGGCCATCTGTGCGCTCTTACGCTGTTTTAGTCATAAGTAGGTAGTTTTTAAACTACACCATTAATTTCTTGATATCCTAACACTGTTATGTGTGCCCAAAATTTTCACAAACTGGAAAAACCACACAACCTATAACTCCACCAAACTCTCTAAAAGATACCGCTATTTCGCATTAGTTAGACGAACTAGATGGCAACGCTTGACTCATGGTTTTATACGAGTCAATGAATAATGGAATGCGTAGCGTCACTTTTAGATGAAAAGATAATGAAAAAGGGAAACCATGCAAAAAACACAATGTTGCGTTATGACATACAAATACTCAAAGTACCTGCAAGTTAACTTATAGATATACTTTACTCGCGACCAACTACAAAGCGCCTTGACGTAATTACCTCAACACAGCCAACAACATATTCGAGGAGCTGCGCTTCTTACAATCAAGTGGATTTCAGACATTTTGACGAGGGAGTAAACAGTAAAGACAATCATATAGTGTTCTAACATAGGCCAGAACTAGCTGTCACTTCCGTTCTGAGTAGCTGGGCTTAAATGAGCATTCCTTGTGTTCTACAGGCAATGAAAGTTCCTTGGCGGTCATAAGATGAATTTATCACTACTGAACCATCTAATTCATTTGTTCAGCAGAGAGATTGGAAACCTTTACAAATTGCTAAAAGGCGCCACCCGACCTCCTATAAGCCACCACATATTTTGGTGTATCGGATATAGCTCTAATACGGTTAGCAAATCGCCTGTCCTTGGAACCCAGCCCTAAAACCGAAAACAACAGATTTTCGAAGAACAGCGTAGTTGCGTTGTTTTCTGTTGAATTCCTAAATGAATTCAACAGACATATCTCTTCTGGTCGTTAGACTTGGCTTCTCACTCCTCAGTAGAAGGGGAACCGCTCAAAAGCAGCATATATTAGCTCACAGTAAGCACATCATCCCACATCTGTTAAATAGCAGCGAAGTAAGCAGAACTAAGTAGAATTATCAGCATGGAGCTCTACTTCACAGAAAACCTATCATTGCTAGCGACCAGCCCTAGCCACTCTGCAAAAACATCAACACTACGGAGCAAACATAGAGCGTCCTGAGAATGAGGAGCTTTACGAAAAACCACTAAATAACATCCTTTTATCATCAACCCTTAGATGCATAAATGCTGATGCCGAATATGTTAGAAAAACCCATAATAGAAGTTCAGAATTTGAAAAAGAATCCAAATAGCCGCAAAACTTGGCGAGTACCGAAACTACCATTCACATAATGGAGATTCAACTGAGGCTAAAGTAAATTTAGCAAAAGCTTAGAGGAAGATAAAATTGGTGATGATAATGACATTGAAATATCATCAGACGACAGTGGTAAGCAGACGAATAGGACTCAAGGGAACTCAGAGGACCTCAATTCTGAGAGCAGCTCAATTATGCAGTCAATCAATCGCCCAATATCAGTTTAGCGAAATTTTATGGCAGCGAAGAATAATTACCAGAATAGTGGGCAGTGTATAAGTCCTTTCTTCACTCAAGCAAAAACCTGAGTACCGTCGAGAGCATTAGTCAGCCATTAATAGGAGCCGATGGCAAATAATTATTAATAGATTGTGCAGGCTCTTAATAATATTAGGGTGTCCCAAAGGTTTTGAGAAAATTTTGGTCTTGTATTTCGCAACCATGCTGCGCAAGAAAGCGCCGTGGCAGAGCCACGGAGAAAAGGTCACGCTTAGCAAATCATCATAACAAGAGAACAGTATTGCACTTTATCTTTGGAAGTGAGTTATCAACATTTGAATTATTTTCGACTGACACGACTACAGGCGCCTTTTGCTTCATTACTACCGATCTGGTCACTCCGCCACTCGAGAGCGGAATGAATTGCAGTCATCGATGGGCAGTACTGCACCATCCCTCGCCCTCTGCTATTGGGGTACGGCCGCTTCTCTAGAGAGTTTCACTTCGACGAAGTGCCACGGAGCGGACGTCCACGTTCCACCAAGACCGAAATTGTCTTAGCCTTCGTCCAAAGCGATCCTTCTCAAAGCTTGAGAGGAATGGAGAGGACGACTTCTGCTCCCCGTTCCACCACCCACGACATCCTAGACGTCGCTTTCGCGCAACAATTCTTGCAATTATCCCCCACACATTGACTGAGAGCGAGCGTCAGGTGCGGGTCGATGTGTGTCGGAAGCTACTCGACCGCAAGCGAACGGTGGATTGGACGAGCTTTATCATCGCTCAGGATGAGAAGTGGGTTCCTTATGATAATCCATACAGGAAGTTGCAGTGGCTACCAATCGTCATAAGGCCAGAAGCCGTTGCCAAGCGTGGGGAACACGTCAAAAAGAATACGATCTCGTTCTTCTTATGTTCCGCCGGCTTTTCTACTATGAGATCCTACCTGAGGGTACTGCTGTGACTGTAAGGGTATTCTGCGAGCAGCTGCGGGAGATGGTGTCTGGAGCCCCGGTTTCACACCGAATGCAGGGAAAGTTTCTGATTTTGGTGAGTCACGCTCGACCACATCATGCTAGGGCGACGGCTGAGAAGCTGGAAAGGCTTGGGGTTACCTGGCTGCCCCACCCCCCATATTCACCTGATCTTAGTCCTTGTGACAACCATGCTTTCAGAAGCCTGGAGGCCTACACGGAAAGGAAAAAATTCAACAATCGTCAGGAGGTCAAACATGCAGTGGATGAATGGCATCAGTGCTCTGCCTAGTCCATGGAGGGACGTCGTGGCTAAAGAGGGCCACTATCTCGATTACTGATCTCACCTTTTTGTTGTAGTATTTTTGTTGAAGAAACCAAATAAATTTTCTCAAAACTTTTGGGACACCCTAATAAATTCGGTAACCGACCAGACAATAACTCAACAATTGTGCAGGAACTTTTCGAATTGTAAGCTGCTGCACAAAATGCGAAAATCTGCGATGAATACCTATGCTGGATCAAAGCATTTGTGAATTAGATGGCCTCGATTGACCATGATCTGATCCAGATCTCCACGTGCAGCTCTCGATGAACCTCGCCATATCTTCGAAATAAATTCTTTTTGTACAATTCCACTCGAGGTTCACAATACCTTAATGACTGAGGTTTCGTGAAACCCAATCAAACATGTCCATCCCACGTAACTTCATAAATCTGAACTACGAGACATCTTCCATGACATAATGACAGGCATTGGAGGACGTGTACAACGATAACAGCATAAGTGAGCCTATGAAAATTCAATCTGCGTACGGAAAAGAAGTGTGTTTTAATGTATTATACACACCAGACCAGTCATAACTGGAGGGTTTCTGTCAATAAAGTTGACTTAGCAGGACGCCAATTTCCTTGAGCGGCACCAAATTTGCACCGAAAATTGAAGAATCCGGGGAGATCATGATATTTCGATCGGACAAGACAGATATTACGGTTTATTTATGGAAGAAAACACTCACAGATCACACCTCCAGGGCTGCGTATTGCAAAAATCTTATTCGGGCCAACAATTTATGGAAGCGGCAGGTCGGATAGCCCAGCTAAATGTGAGCCTACCTTCTATGGGTCGACGGCTATGCACGAGGGTTCGAAGAGTCCAATGTTGGAAAAACTCTTGTCGCGGCATCATTCTCCTTCGGAATTTCTTCTAATGACTGTGCTTCGGGCGACAGAGTTCAACAATATTTCGAAGACTTCTAAGACTCGTTTGGCAATGGCTATGTCACAGCATCATTTCCCTTAGGATGCAAGGTTGCATAATAAGACAACTATCCGGTTGCTATCAAACGGCTGCCATATCTACAGAATCAGCTGAAAATGCACGAAAGAAAGGAGACAGTTTTCGTTGAACGATGTTATACGCAAGGACGAACCACTTGTGCACAAAATTCCTGACACCATCATTTCAAGTCGCTTCACAAATCTCGTGACTCTGCGATATTGAGGCCGCATTCTGCAGGTTAGGCTTGAGGACGCACATAAGGACTTATGTCGCTTTCCTCACGTAAAAAGTACAATTACGAGGTCAAACATAATAGTATCACCCCTAATCGATCACCTTTCGTTATCACTGCGTCACCGGTGTTCTATGTATGGTGACTTCGGCACCTCGAAAGGGACAGAATTTTCAGCGAAAATAAACAAACCTGAACGTAGACAATATTTTACTCCAAGGGTAAACTAAAGAGCAGGTCCTTCAAAAATACGAGG